GACAGCAGTTTTTGGGAAATGGCATGGAGGCTATAGAATACACAGTTGTGCCTAATTCTGTGGTATAACTGAGGGTCAGACAAATGATCTTCTCAGTATGATGAATCGCTTATCACTGAGCTACAAGAGTAGCAGATAGAAATTATTATCAATTCTTAACAATTGCAAAAATAATGCCCACAATATAAAGAAAAGCTGTTAGATAAATTTCTTTGGACTTGGAAGAGAAAGCGTTTATCTGAAAGTGAAAAGCCAATACATATATTCCTCTGACTTGTAGATAAGAACATGTTTACAGCTTCTTACTTATACTTTGGTTGTTAGAGATTACCCTAATCAGGACCTTTTGAAGAAATAATATAGAATGATATTTCAGCCATAGTATATAAAATGCTGCAGGATCTTCCAGATCATCTGCTTGTTCATAGCACTGAATTTTTTTTTTTTTCATTTCAGGGTAGAGCCAAGATGCTGTTGGCCATAAATATTTCCATTAGCCAATGGAAATAGTCACGAGGTAGCATCATTGACTAATTCCTTTTCCTTTTCGGTTCCTGTAGGTAATAGCTCTCAGCAGATTTTCTGGCAAACCTGAGCAATTAATTTCTGCCCTCAGGGAAGAAGAGTAGAATAAATATACCTTGTAGTCAGAGGGAGCTTCCTAGAATTTAGCATTATGAATCTTGCCTGGTTCGGAATTAGCATTATCTAGGTATAGCTCTCTTACTTTGAAGACATTTTAAAGCACCAATTAGCGTAATTAAGAGGAAGACCTTTCAAAGAGAAAAAGAGCACTTAAGTAATCAAGTCCTATCGAAAAGTCAATAGAAATTGAATATTTAGCTCCATTAGGCTACTTTGAAAATTGCTGTAAGAATCTATATTGAGTCTCATTTATCTATATCGGGGAAGTGTTCAAGTATCAGTAGAAGCGTAAAAAAGCATTTAAACATCCATAGATTACAAACTTTTTAACTAGATATAAGACATATTATTTCATTTACTAGACACTCAGAAACTCAGTCTTCTCCTGTTTTGGTGCTAACTCTGTATTGAGTAGGTACATCACTCCCTATAATTTGCAGCTTCATTCTATTCTACTACTTAGATTTTCCTTACATGGCAGACACTTAACATACCAAAATACTGTCTGGTACTTCAAAAACTTAGAAAACAGTTGCATTTTCTAATGCATTAATTACCCACAGCACTTATTCTATAAATAGACAAATATTTTTTTTCCCAGTTAAAAAACAGACCATAAATCTCTGGTTTATTCGGCACTACAGTATCAGGAAGTGTAAAGAGGTAGGGATGAGGAGAACATCTTAGACTATCCCTGAATGCCTGCAAGCAGGAATGGTCCCCAACAGACCAGTAGTGATGATGTTAAAAGAGAAAAGGATGGGACAAAGGCCAAGCTTCTCTCAGCTACGAATCCACATCAAATTCAGGGACTTCAAGTATTCCTAGGGGAAATGTAAAGGTAGGAAAGCCTATGTGCTCTCATGTAATTTGGTTTTTTTGGTGTTTAAACAGTATTTGAACCTCACATAAGGCCAAGTCATACTTGTCCTATTCACGCTAGTGAGGAGAGAGAGTAGTCGATACTATGCTGATAGTAGGGACAGAGAATATGCAGTGAGTAATACTGGGGTAAACTAAAGGACAGCGTTGAGTGTGGGTTATCTTTAAGGACTATGTTTGAGGCTGAGTTTTGTTTTTCTGGCTCAACTGAAAAACTCTGTAGCCCTACAATGAAAGGACAAAGATGGCAATGGCATTATTAGATGCCATGTCTTCTTTATGTGTCTCCAAAGCCTAGGACTGTACATTAGAAAATAGCAGGCAATACAAAATCATCTAAAACCAAAGAAAACCTAGAATTAGTGAAGAAAAAAAAAGACAAAAGGTATAAGTAAGTCACCAAAGACTAAAAAATAATAGAAAAACATCCTGAACAGGAGTACATGCAGCCTTCTGGTATAAATAGATTATAACTTTTAACACACAAGTCTCTATCTTATGACTAGTACTGTGTGTTGCAGTGAAGAGTTTAGGGTCATTAAGGAGAAGATAAAAAAACCACAAACCATACAAGAGAAAAAACAATAGAAGATAAAAAAGATCCTTCATCACTAGAATGCATTTTTAAATTAGCTCCTCATTTCAGATCTAGAGCCAGGCAGCAAGGAGCTATATGTTTGCATGGCAAACCATACCATCCTTTCATTACATAGCTGCACCCTCTGATCTGCAAATGAATATTTCATATTTCCATTTTAAATGGGAGAAAAATGTTGCAAGTTTTCCACTGATCTCAACGAAACCAAGATTTTCAGCTTGTATCTGTCTCTACTGTTTCTTTGAAATATTAACCTCCACAAAATAAAGCCTAAGGCAAAACAGTTGCTAAGATAGAACAAATAGGTAAATTTCCTTCCTTTTAGGTAAAGGCACTTGTGATAAGAGTTTCTGTGATTTTAGATGTCCAAATTACTTCCATCAGCTGTCCATGTGGCTACTTCAGGATGTGTCATAGTTGAAATGCATTTGAGGAGGGGAGGCCAGAGCTAATACCGTATCTGAGATAAGATTTTTCACAACAGCATAATGAATATATTCTACTGTATAAAACCGTAACTATCATTCATTAGACATTAAAACATTAGCCTTTAAGATTGCTCCAAAGGATTTTGCACAGTTACTCTCCAGTTGTTGTTGACTGATTCTATGCATTCAAAATCTAAAGGCATAGAAGAAGATTAAACCATTTGACTTCTTCTAGTGTGCACAACTGCATTACTGAATAATCATTGCCTCTCTTCTCATGATAATTATTCATTTAAGGCATTCAAGTTCTTCTCAAGGTACTCAAAGTCTTCTTCTTCTCTGTCTAGCCAAAATGTTTTTGACATGTGCAATTTTTTCCTGTTAAAACATTTGCAGTTTTTCCAGACTATTAATAGGCTAAACAGCACCATTCCTACTACTTCACCCTGTGGAACATCACTGTTACTCTTTCATTGTCACAAAACCTGATCATTTGTTTACAGGTTTGATTCATGGTGGAGTCTTGCCTGTCATGGTAGGAGAAGTTCCCAGATACCAGAGAGGGTGGTTTTACGATTAAAGAACCCCAGAGGTGACAGGAGCAATCATAACTTCAACCACTGCTTCTGGAGGACTGTAAATGTGTAAGACCTTATTGTACCAGGTCAATAAATAAAACATGCATTAGGCTTTTCTTTCACACAGATTAGAAAGAAATAGGTACCAAAAAAAAAAAAAAAAAGCCACAATCCTGAAAGTGTGGCAGTTGCAGTTCCTAAGAGTGTAAAAACACAGCTACATGACATGTACCCTAATGGCAGATTTGAACAGTAGTAAAATACAGGACATGAATTTATGGTCTTTTGAAAAAATGAAGATAATAAATTAAATGTTATGTATATATAAGAGGAAACCTGAGATACATCTGTATGACATGCCAACAAGCACAGGCCACAAAGGAACAGCTCTGGCCTATCTGGCCTAGAGGTTTATATTTGAACAAGATAATTTTAGCTGGCATTCAAAATAAGTAAAAGTTAAGTGGCATTTAGACTAGAATGGCTTCAGTATTAGTACAACAGATATAATCATAACAGATGCATGAAAATGAGGAAAAATTAGCATTAATCTTGTCCCCTTAGTCTTTATTCTGCTAACACACTTTCCCGCAAACAGTAGACACAGAAAATGAGAAAGAAAAGAAATACTATAAAGACATTAACATTTTTCTCAAGCACTGTAACTGCTTAAAAATGTTAAAGTGTCATAAAATAATTTATTCTAAAAAATATGTTTTCTTATTTTAACTTTGTAAAATGTGGTCCTTAACAGATTATATTCTTTATTATGATGGATTTATATGACTTTTTTTTTTCTTAAACTAGAAAGACATATAACATTGGTATGAATGAGACTTGGTAGTGTGAGAGAACCTGAGGAACATCTATTGCAGTCAAATCCACATGGTCAAATTTTGTGGAGGGAAATTTTTGACATGACATAGAAAATAAATAGATTTAACTTGGACTATACGAAACATAGTTTTATCTCAACTGCCTGTGACTGAAGTCCTTGCTATAGAGGTGCTCTCAGGGCTACCCTGTGTGACCTGGGGCCAGAGCCCAGGTATATAACCGTGCTGACTGGGAACTGCCACACATACAGCAAGTATGGGGATTAGTGCTTCAGATCAATGCATAGCAGAGATATCTACCTTCCACAGTTCATAGCATCACCTTTCTCTTCCATTTGTGACACACTACCTGTATATTTTTAAATCTAACTTTTGTCTGTTTTAATATTTCCCCCCATTTTTCTATGTTGGGGTAATAATCCTTGGTACTTTCATAGTGCATTCACTGCACCAGCTAATCCAGGTAGTGAAAGGTTAACTGTTAAACTCGTACAAGCAGATTATACTTAACTTCTGGACTGAGGTACACGGATATTATCATGATGGAAACTACACAAGACTTTCTACAGATATAGATAAAAGTTTATACACTTTTGCTTGATGAATACCCACATTATAGACAATAAAAAACCCAAACAAACAAAACAATCCCTCTAATTTGTAATCGAAGAGGAAAAAAATAACTCCTTTTCTATCATGTACTCTATGCTTTTTTCTATTCAGTTGGTAAAATGCTTAAAGGAGAGAGGACAAATTTTATAAGAAGATTTCATGCTTCTGATCTGAGATGCTCATGTCTTTAAAGCCTAATCCATAAAGAAAAATAGAGCCTTCATTCATGTAAATGGTATACAGACATACATAAACATCCATGTGAAAACATTAACAGCATATTTTTGGGGAGCTTTCAAACAATGCAAATGACAAGAAATGTAACAGTTTAAAATTAAAAGAAAAATAGTTGATAATTTCAAAACCGCGCCTTTCTCAGAATTAAACCCTGATGAGACATCTTCTCTCCAAAACTATAGATGAAGATTCATGAGTAGAAATTTTTAGGAACATTGTCATACTAGATGTTATGTGGACACAAGAATGGATAGATTCAATAAAAATGCAATTTGATTTCCATTGCAGAGAAACTGGATAGAATTTTTATTACAACTCCTCCAAAATTAACAAATGAAGTAAGAGATGGGCATGAGGTAAAATCCAAGGCACAAACATGCTTCTAATAATGCTGACAATTCATACCTTTGCATCTACTTTTTATTTTTATTATGGATCAAATTTAAAAAAATCAGGATTTTAACACAGATGAAATTGTAGTCCTCTGCCAGATTTTGGGAATCCTACCACTGATTTTCTAAGTCTCTAAATCATCCAGAGAAAGTCTGAACTTGGACATAACACATTCAGAAAAAAAAACAACAACCAGAAATAAACAGCATCCAGATATGTCCCATTGCTCCATGAGGCTTGGACATTCAAGATAAACAAGCCTCTGCAGTCAGAGGTAGGTGGGTGAAATGGTTACCTTCATAACTGGTTCCTTTTGAATGCTTGCCTTAAATGATGGAGTACCCTTTGCAGGTGCAATGCCCAGTGTGCTTCTTGGGCAATGATCTAGAGGAAAGAGTATCTTTCCCAAGATGCTTAGGGAAAGTTTTTGACTATCTAGAGAACAAACATTAAGGCAGATGTTTTAAAGACTTTTAAAACCCATAGAGTTTTCCAAACTAAATGTGTACTCCCTTTGGTTAGATCATTTTCAGATACAAGTTTAAACTTCGTCAGGTCTACAGAAAGTTGATTTTATTTCAAAGGTGACAACCTATGTAATTCTTTTGTAAAGCTGACTAATACCCTTTGTAAATAAATTGGCTGTTGTATTTCTAATCGAATATATACTTAGAAGGTCTTATAAAAAAAATCACATTTTGCAATCATCTAACTTGACAAAGTCATAACAAGATATTGACCCACTCTGCTCACTCAAAATGAAGTTTTCATGGTGCAATAAATATTCAATGAACTAAGTAGTTTCAGGAAGAAGAGGTGCTCAATCAAGGGATTAAAAAAGAAAAAAAAATCTAAGATCTAATTGCAATGTTGCTGATAACAACAAAAACAAAGCTGAGCCCACAGAAGTACTGAAAACCTGACAATTAAGCTTTAATTATCTGATAAAACTCAACTCTGAAGTATCACTGCTTAGAATAAGAATATAACATTTCTGTATTCTCGTGATAAAATTGGTGCCACCTTCAAGATACTGACAAAAATTCCTTGTAGAAAGCATTTAATTTCTTGTCATCAGCAATGTGTGCTCTTTTAAATAATTTAAATTCTAATTTTGGAAAGGTATAAGTGCAAGAATACTTTTTATCCTATGGGAAGCTAGTAATCCACCCCGGTGAAAGAACTATAAGTGCATGGATTATAATGCGATTTCCAAAGTCTCTGGCTGACCACTCCTGGGCACATTCACAGCTTATAAGTGATAGAGCAAGAGACCTGACATGAAATACTTTCAGTCCTAGGATTTTTTTAGAAAACAATGTTGGAAAGATACATTTTTAAAAATATTTGGTCACTAAAAAGTAAGAGCAGGTTGGAGTTCTGAAGCTCTTCCACCTAAGGCAAAATGCTATGTAAACACTCCAGAAAACACAGTGTCCATGAATTACCATCAGCTTCACACATTTCAAGCCCCAGTTTCTAGACAGAATCTAACTATATTTATGCATTAAATATTAATATTTCTAGATAATGCCCTACCTTATTTTGCCTGCAAAATAAAGTTTTGCAGTTTTACTTTTTCTTCTACTGTGTTGGAGAAATCCCTAAGGACCAGCCCAGACAGTTTCACAGTCAGAGCCCCAGATACTCCCTAAAGTGGTAGATAATTAATGTGAATTAGTATTTACATTTCTTCTTCACCGTGGGGCAAAATATTCTCTTTCCAGAGAAGTTATTTCATGTCTCCAAGTACAGTATATTCTGGTGAGAGAGGAAAGACAGGAGTGGTATGGGGGGAGGGGAGACATGTCCCCTTGAGTGGAGACAGTCTCCAAAAAGCTAGCTAATGCTCTGTGTGAACATAGAGCTAATCATCACTGGAAGACTTTTCCTCTAGGACCACTTGTCATGTGGAATGGTAGTTGGATGCCTGTGGTTGTCCTGCTCAGTGGGTTGGCCCTGCAGGCTGACTGGGGAGGCTTTACGTGGGTTGCCCCTCTCATCCCTATGCTGCATTACTACCTTAATACCTCATAAGGCTCCAGACAGCTGCATAGATTTGTTGTTCATATTTAGGAAGAAGACTCTAATATAACTTCACACCAGTTTCACCATACAATCTAATAAAGATTCCCCTTACAGCAGAGATACATTTATTCCAAGATAGAGACCTGTCTATATTATGCATAAGAGTTATGTATAAGAATTTTAAGAGCTGACCCAGCAGATCTGCAAGGAACACATTCCTCTTGATATTTTATGAGAGTTCTCTAAACATTTAGACTTCTGCAAAGAAGCTCCAGTGTACATGGTCAGTGCACCTGCATTCCTGCAGAACTAGGTCATAAATTCCTTCAGTCTCATTTATCAAGGAGTAGGTAAATTTAGAAAAGAAATGTATTGGAAACTCTTCTTCTCTGTGGTAAGCACACACAGCTCCTCTCAACAGTAATTTGTCAGATGGCTGTGTTTGAATATGTGGGAGATTTAAATCTTTCTCACTTTTGCAAGTCAGCAGTTTACTTTCTCTTCCCCAAATCACTGAAAGGACGAGATGGGGATATTTTCAACACCACCTTTCTGTGAATGTAGCAGTCAATACATACAAAACACTAGGTATAGCTAATTATTTTTATTAAAATTTTTATTTTTACTAGGAATAGTTTACAAACAACTCTAAAGCCATTAAGGTATTTGGAGTGAAGAAAAATACCTTTTTTTAAATTTAAATTGTCTTGCTTTTTTCTCCCCAATATATTTTCAAGGGTTTTTACACTAAAAGAAATTAGTAGCATAAATAAATTAACTACTATTTTTGCAATATTGTATAATGTTAATTTAATTTTTACATTACAGGTAAACCATACAAGTCTAAACATATAGGTAATTTAAGAAATAAATTGCAAGACTATAATCAGAGGTATATAAATCACTCGCAAATCATCTTCTTGAAGGAGATGGTCATACTGTCACTGTACAAAGAGTCTC